CAGCCTGTGTTGCTTGCGTTTTTGCCATGAATCAATTGTTGGGTTTAGGCTTAATTAATTAGGGGGTTTAATTGCCTGGGTTAAGGGTTGAAGAAAGGTTAAATTCGCTGAGCAAATCGCTCTGGACATAGGAGGCCAGAGCCTGGATGATGCATCGACTTTCCAAAAGCCATGCAGCGGGTCGGGCCCACCTAAGCTGCGAACAGAGGGTAATTAACAGAAGCGAGGACGGAAATTCGAGCGAGTGGGAAAGCCACAGAAGCACACACGGCAGGGTTTTTTTGCTCGAGAAACCGCTCTCGGACTGCCTGAGTGATATAGCCACTGCGGAGCAGCGACTGTCCGACGCACCGTGACGAGAGTCTGAGACTGGGACACCACGGGTATCCCTGCAGCGAAGACAATGAGCTACCTGGCACACAGATGCACACTTCAGATTAATTACTGGACTACATAATTAATTACTTAGTGCTGCTCCAGTCTGCTGGGGTTCCTGCCACAGGGTGGGGTCACACAGGCTGATTAATTATCTTGCAGTGCTGACGAAGCCCTCTAGGTCGGACATCAGGCAAGTTGCACCGCCTCACCGGATTTGACGGTGACATCCTTGGCGCAGATCAACCTGATTGGCAGGCAGCAGTTCGTGAGTGTAAATCAGACAGACGGACTTGGGACCAGCACCACAAGGACACATTATAATTTTAGAGACCCAAGCTGCCACGCGTTCACGTCGCCAGATTCCAAGCTCTCCGTTGGAAAGTAAGGCGCCAAAATGCCTGAGGTCATGGCATTGCTCAAGACTTGCCAACTTCGGCAGCCTCTAAGCAATTACTCGTTGACACATGGTGTAACGATCCTCGGGCAGTCCAAGCTTCGGCGCGTCCCGAACTCAGCCTCGTCGATCTCGGGGGTCACGTTCCAAATAAAAACAGGCTGCCTAAGCTTTAGCAAGAAGCATGTCCACCGACCGTTCGGGCACACACATATTTACTCATGGCTGGACATGCTTCTAAAACCAGTCATTCATGAGATGTCTGAAATGAGGCAAGCCAAGACACAGTAATTTGTTGTTCTTTTTGGAATCCATCGTCCAGAAAAGCTGCCCTACACGACTCAGCCGGGCGGATTTCTCGTCATCTGTGAACGATCATCATTTCCGCCACCGTGAAGCTGAGGGGTTCCAGGCGGTCGGTTGCATTTAAAGTTCCCGTAGGGCTGATGCTCAAAGCACTGTTGGCCTTGACGGTTGTCTTGTGTCCGTACATCAAAGCCGAGGCCTGCAGGACAAAACACATGAAGATTAATCACAAACATCATGCCCGTTAACTAGAGTTGACCTGATCGAATGATTCCCTTGCCTTGTCTCTTGAGGCTGCGTCAGGGCATGTACAGTAGCGTTCAAGGGATACAATCGGGAACTCGGACACAATACTGGGCATCTGGCCACCACAGCCGATTGCAGAACCTGGCGAAACACTTTAAAGCCCGGCAGCCAAAGCTTGAGCGCAGGAAGCGGCTGCAAAATCCAACGGCCCCAGCCTCGGAGAAGCAGCTTGACACGAACATCGGGACCTCCGCCCAAAGTATAGCACTACCAGCATGTGCATTTGTCATTGGCAGCACCCCTGCGCTATCCCAGCATCGCATCTAAGAATTGTTTTTCTCTCGCGGCTCCCCGGTGCCAGAGTTCCATTCTGGCATGAATCCCCAGCTGCCCCATCAAACACGGACTTTCAGTCAGCACTAATGCCGACCACCTCTCAGGCGCTGCCTGGCCGGCTTCGCGCACGTGGACAAGTGCTGGACCATGACATCCTGCGAAATCCGAGCGAGCGCACTGCAAGGCAACCCCATGCTTGCGAGCACCTGCCTCAGCCGCCACCTGAAGCGCTTCAAGGGCTTCAGTCTGGAGGATGAAGTCAGGCGGGACCATGCTCTGAATCAGTCTCTTCCAGCCTTTGAACCTTAACTACAGTGGATGGAGCCGGGAGAATGACAGCAGAACAACTCTAGGCGCACTGACTACATGGTGCTGAGCCCAGGCACGGAACACTGAGGTAATTCGGGATTTCGGAGAACTTTTTGATCTCAGCCTCCACATTCCTCTTGTATTTCTTGAGCCTTGTAATTACTGAAATGAGTTCGCCTTGCTCTGGTCCACTCGATTGCCTCTCACGCGAAAAGCCGGGGCCTGCAACGTGTGACAGTGTCTAATCCAGTTCAGCTTGACAGCTGGGGCGGATTCTGCCTGGCCTTTGGCTCGGCCTTCAGGCGAGGCATTGCTTCGGGCTCCTGCAGAGAAGAGAAGTCTTTATTCAGTAATCAACAATCGATATGGCACTGCTTCGTGACTGGTATCCATGCCAAACTCTCCACGACTCCACGGGGCCTCCTTCTTCAAGGGGAAACATGAAGCGCTTTTCGGCTCCTGACAGTCGCTAATTAATTAAGTGAAGGTACCGAAATGGATGACACTGTTGGAAACTTCCCCCGCCTTTTTCACAACTGGCAACAGGGGCTTGCCCATGCCAGTCGCTGCAGCCTCCACCACGCAAGCCATCTAATTATGACGCTTCAATAATTCGGATTGCTCCCACCTGCGGCTTGCCCAAGTCGAGCCCCCGTTTGAGCTCCAGAGCACAATCAGGCAGGCTCTTGCGTCCAGGCTCCTGACAATCCATAAACCCAGGTTTACCGCTAATTACTGGCGCTGATGCTTCCCACGCCTTCTTCACACGAATCAGGCGCAGCTTGGTCATTGCAACCTGCACCAGGGCATCTGCAATGCGAAAGAAGATTCAACAGGATTGCTCCCACCTGCGTCTTGCCCATGCTGAGCTCAGGATTGCGCAGGCAATGACCGGAACCAAAGGACTTTGATCATGTTCGAGAGAAAACATGCGGTGGATTCAAATAATCACATGGTCATTGACCTGACGGAAGATGTCGAAAGCAGCGGTCCTAGCTCTGAATAATCACTGGCCTCTGTGAGCGTTGGCGTAACACTCCACGAACATCTCCTGAGTGCTGGTAAATCGGCAGCCCTATGAAGCTTTGATTAACGCCGGCATTATTTCTACGGCTGAGAACAACACTGTTTCCTGGAACAACGTCGAAAGTGACCAGGGATAGCCAAAGCAGAATTTGGGGTGCCCAAAAATGCGTTTTTGGCTTTCTATGTAGGTCCATCGGCTCGAATGATTTTTTTACGGGATATAGAACCAAAAATTGAACTGTTTTGTGTTTCGGAGTGTAGGTCATCCTAACCATTAATTAAACCTCAAAGTAAGTATAAACCCGAAACCCGAAACGGCCATCTTCCAGGGCGTACACACAACATCTGAGCAGACTTGTGAAGCCTAATTAACTCTGGTCACAAAAAGCTTGGAAAGCAGCTAGGGAAAGCCAAAACATCATTTTGGAGCCCCAAAAATGCGTTCTTGGCTTTCCTAAGTAGGTCCAAGCTGTTTGCGCCAGAATTAGGCTAACAAGTCTGCTAAGATGTTCTGTGCACGCCCTGGAAGATGGCCGTTTCGTGTTTAGGTTTACTTTAAAGTTTCATGGTTAGGATGACCTAAACCCGAAACCGTAAACCCCTCAATTGCGGAATCTGTACACCGTAATTAATTAGAGCCGATGAACCTAGTTAGAAAGCCAAAAACGCA